TATTTGGTAAAACAAGAAAAAAAAAATTAGTAAAATATCTTAATGTGAGACATCTAAGCTTTTTTTTTTTTTTTTATTTCATCGTACCTCGTATACTTTTTATCGTGAAAGTCACAAAAATAGCCTCCGAAACTCGATTTCTTGTGGTGTAAGTTCATTCAAAAAATTTTAAATTTCAGCCATCTTAACATCATTTTCTGACTCCGCCCCTGCCCCTCACCCATAAATAAATGAGATATTATGTAGGTGTTCGGCTGCAAATGCATACAGTTCTTATTTGTATTTTTAAACCCCAAAAGTTTCACTAACCATCTTTTCAACCCTACAACTTTGTTACAATCCTTAAAAATCTTCAAAATTTTCTAAATATCACAGAAACTTTTTGAAATTATTTTTGTTCCAAAACCAAGGTAGATGAAGATTGTGCTGTGATGTTAGTGTTAGATTGTGTGCCCGTATAGTATATTTTGCTATGATAAAATAATATTTTATAATAAATAAATAGTTATTTTATTTATTTATTACATTTATTTATATTGAGCATTCGAATTAAGCTGTTTATGATTATTTGTAATAATATAAGTTAGTACTTGCGTTGAGAAGTACCGTGTGCCATAATTTATATTTTGATTATAAATAATTTGTTCACAATCAATGTATAAGGGTTGGCACCTTGTATCGAAATGTTGTAATATTGACTGATTCACTATTCAGAATTGTGATTTGGCCTTATCACTAAAATAGTTAAAGGTGACACCAGTATACTTTGAGTGTATTGAACGGACTACATGTTGAGTTTAATTCTATAACGTCAATATGTGAGATCAAAGCCCAATTTGAGTCACATTCTTTCAAAAAATATATATATTTTTAAATAGTGACTTGATATTATTTCACCACATATTTTTTAATAAAATAATATTACACGCAAATTCAAAACTTTTCCTTATATTTTAACCACACATTTTTCATCAATACATTATTCAAAAATACATTCTTATGAAAATAATCTCAACCAAGGGCCAATTTGATTTGTCAAATATCTCGAGAGTTGGGAACATGAGAATGAGTTAAGTAGAGAACATGAATTCGTGTCGGGAACTATCACCCTTATAATGGGCAGAGTGACTATTTAATTATTTTCTGTTGAATGGTTAAAATTTGAGCTCAGTATCTAACGATAGCTAAATGTGATTAGTTCACAGGACCGTTGAAAAAAATTGTACTTAAGTTAGTGAGAATAATTAGAAAGTGCTAACTAATAGTTACAATTTTGACTTTGAAGAATACCATAAAAAACTTAAAGGTTTAAAGTATCAAGTTTTTGAAATTAAAAAGCTGGAAGTCTGTGATAAAAAAAAGTTGAAAGGTTGTGATTCAGAATTAATTTAAGAATTGACCATCGAATTTAGGTAAATATTAAAATTCTTTAATCTTGATATAATATATACTTGAATATTTAGACGATTTTATTTATCGAATTAAAGAAATTTTTTAATTTTTAGATTATTCCGCTTCCGCATTCCGACAATTAAAAAGGTTGAAGATTGAGAGAACTACCAAGGAATATGATAGAAAACTGCCATGGATGACAGGAAAACCGCCGCGGTAGGTGAAGGTGGCGTGGAAGACTAGAGTACAATGGTTCATTACATTTTTTTTTTTTTTTTTCCCTCTCTCCCTCCCTCCCTCCCCTTTTGTATTCTTTTTTTTATTTCATTCTTTTTCTTAATCATTGTTTTACTCATTCTTATTCTTTTGTTCCAAGCTAAAACAAAAAACACAATGATCATTTTAAGAGATAATTTGTTTTAACAGTCAAATAAATGATTTCCAGACAGAAAAGGACAACATTCACAAACAGTTCATAAGTCAGAGACTTGGGGTGTTCCAAAAGGTAAAGGTTTGGATCCAAGCTGGAATTTTCCCAATGTTAAGCGGTTGTGTAAAATTGTTACTTTAATTCTTAGGCAAGAAAAATAAATTAAAATGTGGGGGATAAATGCATTTTGTAATTGACAGGAATATATCGACCAAATTACTATCATTTAATTAAAAATATTATGTAGACTAGACCACATCCTCAATAAAATATATCGGCATACCCGAGGTGGAAGTTTTGGAAACAATTTGCAATTTTCCATACAAATGGAATAATAATATTATTGGCTTTTGCTCCGAGGAAAGACCTAATACCACCTTTATTTTATTACCATTAAGAATTTGTGCTTTTCCTATGTTTTTGGCAAGTTTTGTCATTTTTCCCAACACTGCAAAGGTGTCACGGTGCATGTTACCTTTCAGAGTTGTATGTAATTTCTGTATTAATAAAACCAAAATAATGTGAATAAGGTAATGGACGAAAATAAACTCTTGTGAATGCAGAAAATCGTGCAAATCAAACAATATGGTAATTATTTACAATCGGAAGAAAAGAATATGAGAATTTAATTAGAAATTAATCATTTGAAAAGCTATTGGGATGCCAAAGAATAGTGTTTAGTTGTCCCACTATTTAAATAAATTTAGAATACTTCAACTAACAGTTGAAGTATACTTGACGTGGAAGAATACCCAACCCGAATACATGACTCCTTCCCATTTGTTACAAGTTTCTTTAGTACTTATTTCGGTAAAAAAAAAAAACCCTAACAAAAAGACCAATCTAATCAGGGGCACAGATGCAGATTTATTTATTTTATTTTTTATTTTTTTTAGTGCGGACAATAATATTAAAGAATAAAAAAAAAACAACATTATGACCTAAATATTATACTAAAATGAAATAACTTACAATTGTTTTTTTTACAAGTTTTTATACTTTGATATCGTTGCACAACCAATGTTAGAGTCCTTAATCCAGGATCGGTAGGAAGTTGTGCAACATCAAAATCGTCTCTATTTGATATCTCCTCATTAAAATTTTCCACAACCTCAAGAGTTTTTCGTTTATAAAATCTTTCCATGATTGCTGTAATAAATCGGAATTGAAATGTAAATAAACAAATTACAAAGAATGAAAGACACAAAACTCTGAATTGGAATTTAAAGTTCAATTTAATGAGTAAAATACTCTGAACTGGAATGTATATTACTTTGAATTATTGAGCTCAAAATTCTGAATCGAACAAAATAATAAAATAAGAGGTAGAAGAAAAAGATTTTTTTTTTGAATTGAACAAAATTTTATTTTTATTTTTATTTTTTTTTTTTGGGTTGAATCGACCAAAACAAACTGGGTAATTTTTAAATTTTTGAACAAAATTCCATTCACATTTTTCCGAATCAATAACTGAATGGAACAAAATAAGAGGTAGAAGAAGAATATTACAAAAAAAATAATAATAAATAAATAAATCTGGTATTACTTGCTTCAATTGACACCTACGGTTTCACTACTTCAATTTCATCGATTTCATGAATTTGGGACTTTATTGTTTTGGTGGGAATTGTGGGTTTCAATTCAAATGCTTTAGATTTCAGAAGGGACTTGCGTGGGGATTTGGAATAGATTATGGAAGGGTTTGTAGTCTATAGACCAATGGCATCCACCAATTTTATAGTTGAGAAAAATTCATAATACTGATACTAACTTTGGCCCAATTCAATAATAAGGTAACATGTTTACATTTTCTGAAATCAGCTATCATATAAAATTGTATGTCAAAATCTCTTTTCAAATCAGTTTCCTAAAAACTAGGAACGTATCTCCATCAACACACGTATCTCCATCAACGCCAGTCTGTATCATAACAGATTCACATCTCTGAAATAAAATGTTTCATCTCCAAGCTGACGACAAAAAAACTGAATTTACTTTTTTTTTTGTTCACGTAATTCCTTCGATTGACGTCGATCGCATAATCCTAGTCACAGTTGGGGAAAGACGATCGCTTAACAACAGATTGTCAATGGATTCGTCCGAACAGCATCTAATTCAGCAGCCGTCGTCGAATTCAGGGATTTCGATTTTTATCGGGTACATCATTGAAATTCAATTAATCTCACAATCCGCTTGCTGCCTGATAACCACTGATCGGTCAATTTTAAGATCGTCTGTATCATTGTAATGAACTATCACACGATTGATGTCAAGATTTAAATTACATTATTCCATTATAAATTGTGACGCAATTGCAGTGAATTATAACTGTTTATGATTTGTATTCACCAAACGAATATGTGAGCTGTGTTTACTTAGTATGTAACGTGAAATAAAAGTTGTCACGCATTTGTTATGACCTGCAGTCAGTATATTGTAATGTACAGTTCTAATGCTGTGGCTTGTGACCTCTTGTGCTCTGCATTCACAAAATGAACACATGTTGTACATAGAGTCAACACCTAACATGAACTGAAAACTGTGATGCATTTCCTTTGACCCACGGTCAGTATGTCATAATATGCAGCTTGCAGTCCAAAAAATGTGACGCATTCGCTGCGACGCAATCACTATGATATGTGAATTATGACTGTGATCTTAATTGCATTAGAATTGGTGACGCATTTCCTTTCGTCTACGTATTGCGACTCCTTTTCAATATCTGTGACTTAATGCTCTGATCTGATCTGCATTTGCATTTGAAACTTTTACATATTTGCTGTAATAACAGTATTGTGCTCCATTTGAAACTTTGACACATGATGCCGTGACTTGTTCACGATTTGCAATGAAACTACGACGAATTGCTGTTATCCGCAAAATGTGACTCCGTGTCCTAATCTATGATATTCATTAGTTGTGACCTAAACCTTGTTTTGTGGTTGACATTATTGTAGTTGGTGTTGCAGAAATAGGATACATATATGTTTGCTTATTGAATGCCTTAGAGCCTTCATTGGTCTTAATCGATCGTAATTGCGGGTACATGCAACTGGTGGATACAATTATGGCTTAGATTGGATTGGATCCCACTGAAGTGGCAGTCACAATAAAGTATGTTTTGAATAGTGAACTATCTCCAATTGTAATCAAGAATGACAATAATGTGCTGTCATACATGGCGTTGAAAGATATGGATCGTGACCTACCCAAATATCCAATCATCATTGAGGTCACAGAAGAAGATAGTAAACAGAACAATGCAATGTTACCATTTGGTGTGCAACCCAGTGGACCAAAATTTTCATTGATGGATATGTCATCAGATATATGCGGGGCGATAATTGAACCGTTGTGTGATAATTATGAGCATGAGGTTACGGTTGTATCGGTCACCAATGCTAGGGACATAAAGACAGGAAGGGTTTTTCGTAACAAAGAGATCATGAAGCTAAGCTTGTCCTTTTATGCCATCCAAAACATGTTTGAATATGTGGTTGTTCTGTCAGATAAGAAGAACTATCTTGTCAAGTGTTCATATGACGAGTGTGATTGGATCTGTAGAGCATCTAGGATGGCTAGAACAGAATTGTTTAAAATTAGGCATATTGTAGAAGGTCACTGATTGCTTCTAACATTGTACTTGGTTTTCATAGGCAAGCAACAAAAGCACTTGTGTCGCACTGCATAAAATACAAGTACACATCGTCACGCACTCTGTATACCCCAAATGATATATGTAATGACGTGTTGCATACGTATGGAGTATCGTTGAACTATGTGAAAGCGTGGAGGTCTTGGGAGGAAACTTTGAAACTAATTAGGGGTGATCCAGCAGATTCTTTTAATAATATACCAAGATTCTTTACCATGTTGCAACATACAAATCCTAGAACGGTCACAGATCTGGAGCTTGATGGTCACAGTAGGTTCAAATATTGCTTCATGACGCTAGGCGCATCAATTCGAGGTTGGGGACATTGTAGGCCGATTGTTGTGTTTGATGGTACGTACTTAAATGGACACTATGGTGGGACATTATTTACGACATGTACACAGGATGCAAATAACAGCATATACATACTTACTTTCGGGATTGAGGATAATGAGAATGATGCCTCTTGGACATGGTTCTTCGAAAACTTGAGGAAGGCGTATGGCTATAGAGAAGGGTTGTGCTTCGTATAGGATCGCCATAATATCATCAAAAATGCTATTGAGAAGGTTTATCCCGGAACATGTCATGAAATTTGTTCGTATCATCTCCTTCAAAATCTAAAGTCACGTTATGGAAAATCGGGTAACAATATAACACAAACATTTAATTCAGCTGCTTGTGCCTACACGTTGTCAGAATACGAATATAACATGCAACAGCTCGATGCGATTAATGGAAAGATAAGGTGTTACCTGGTAATACATTACATATTACCACCAAGTTATATTCTTGTGCATACATTTATTACAGTATTGTGAAATATATAATTAACAGATAATCATGTTTATGTTTGTAGGACGGTGTTGGTCCTGCTAAATGGTCACGATTCCACATGCCAACGAATCGATATTCTACAATGACATCGAATATAGTAGAGTCGGTTAATGCAGTCACAAAATCTGCCAAGAACTATCCCATCGTAACTTTGTTGGAGTCATTGCAACAAACCATACAGTGTGGTTTTGTAGACATCGGGAAACTGCGCAAGCCACTTTCACAACCTTGTCAAGCAAGTATGAGAAGCAAATAAGGGAAATGAGCATGGATATAAGAAACTTGAGGGTAATGTCAACATTTGTGCCTGAAATGTTATATGTAACCTGTAACTTGTTCTTTGTGGCCAACATCTTAGTGACATTTGTTATATTACTCTTTTGTTGTAGGTTGCGCGTATTAATCAGACAATGTTCTCAACCAGCTGTGAAAATTTAACTTTTGTCGTTGATATAGAAGGACGTACATGCACTTGTAGGATGCTCCAAGTTGATCAACTACCGTGTCCACACGCTCTGGCTGTGATTGCAAGTGTGAAGATGGATCCATATGAGTTTTGTTTATATTGTTAGACGAGAGAAGCATACAAGAATACTTACAACGAAACTATTTTCTATGTAGGAAATCGAAATGAATGGATAGTGTCCAAAGACTTCGAGAACATAGTTGTGTTACCACCTAATCAAAAGCGAAGTTGCGGAACTCCTAGTGAGAAGAGGTTTAGTTCTGCAGTTGAAAATAACATAACTGTCCAATGCGGTCATTGCGGTGAAAGTAGTCACAATTGCAGAACTTGTAGCAGTTTGGTTCCATTAAGTCAAATTCAATTGAAAAAACAAAGAAAAGATAAGGAAGTCAACTGATGATACATATCATGGAACTTGCAACAGTTTGGTTCTGTTAAGATAGTTGGTTTACTTTTTCATTCAGTGTTTGAACGTAATATCGAACACAATTTGTTAGAGAACACAAATATTTATTTAATAACAACATTTCCAAGTTCAAACCTTATAATAATGATGTTTTACTATTGTATTTGTAATGTTCTTTCCACATAAACACATTTTTAAATATAGGCAAACATGACAGGTGGGAATTGGGTATAGCCTAAAAGAACCTGTGACGTGTGTTGTGACCATTACAGTGCGAACTATCACCGGAGGGTTGTTACATTTACTTCATAATAAATGAGTGTGGGGTGTCACGGGTAAAAAATGGTCTGTTAGCTGTTATGTGAACCTGGAACATTGACCTGTAACCTTCGCAACGAACTGTGGTTGTGCACAAAGAATATTATACTTATTGTGACATTTTCGGTGACTTCTTATTGACATGTGACCCGTACTGGGACCCATTGGCAAGAGACTGTGCATAAGGAATTGGAACATGTAATCTTTGCTGTAACTTGTTTTCAATTGCCTGTGACCTTTGCAGCGAACTATGGTTGTGCACAAAGAATATTATACTTATTGTGACATGTTAGGTGACTTTTTATGTGACATGTGACCCGTACTGTGACCCGTTGGCAAGAGACTGTGCATAAGGATTTGGAACATGTGATCTCTACTATGACCTGTTTCCAGTTGTTTGTGATATGAACAATATACATCAAACTGTGACTTGGTCGATGACCTGTGAAATGAACTGCGATGTTGCAATAAGAATAAGAAATAACTGAGACCTACTGTATGACATGTGACCTTTTTCGTGATATTTTCTGCAACAAGTGACCTTTAGTATGACCTGTTCACAAGAGGATCTAACTAAAATAATATGGAACACGTTACACAATATCTCATGCCGAATAATACATTCAAAACATAATTTCAAGACACATGAAATCCAAAACTCAAACACTTGCTTAAATACTATTGCTTAAATCAAAAACAAAAGAGTATCCCCAGAACAAAATACCCTTGTTCAAAGCAAACAAAAAAATTATCCATAATCACACTTCACATTCCATTCTACTGCATTTTCAAACTACACCTCGAATGTCACTTAATAACTATACTATCTCCACCGGTTGGCAGCAACGTCTTTCTCTCTGTACTGATTTCACGGTGCTTGAATAACAATGATGCAACATCCAGACGTATCAAATTTCACTGGCATTGATCCTAAATCGTCATGTAGCATGTACTTGGCATATTTAATCACATATATGCCACAGTTATGCCTGCAAAGTGAAAAAAATTCCGGTCCATTATGTGTAGAATCATATTATAACAGTATGTTTAAATTCTCGGTGACAAAAATTACCCATTATTCTGTTGTGGAACAGAGGAATTAAGTACCACCTTCAACTCCTTGGAATCGTCAGTAGATGGATCCGAATCCTTTCTCCAAATTCCAATATGGTCCATGAGGTGAGAGATCATTTTAACGAAAGGATCAATTCTGATAAGGACCTTGATGCCATTGTATGTTTTCCTTGCCGAATTTAATAGAAGTAAGGTCTGCTTTTTGATAGCAAGCACTGCAAACATCCAATGTGCTTTGTTTGTAGGCAGAATGGGCATGAACACAAGGTCCACTTCTGCCGAAGGTTTGCTCTGTGGAATTCGTGCACCTGTGATGTCGTCAATGAGTCTCTCATCCGTGACAATTACCTCTGGATCTTGTTTGAACTTGTGGTACATGTTCTTCAGCTTGGCTTGAAACACCGTGTCGATCGTGGTGGCGATGACTTTGATGTTTTTGCCATTACTTGCTAACTGACGTATGTAGTAGAAGCACACATCCATATGCTAAAAAAATGGAAAACTGTAAGATTGAATTGACATATAAATTGTGCAGGGTGAACTGTGACCAGAAAATATGCTTGAGTGCACTCTGTAAATTGACTATGACCTATTCACCGTTATTTGTGACCAACCTCAAATGGTCTGTGACAATTACATGTGACCTGTTATGCATACCAAAATGTGACCTGCATTGGGACATACGAACCATGCATATGGCATTGCGAACTTTATAAATTGAATGTAAGAGGGATGTGGGCAGTGACATATAGGTAGTTGGCTATGACCATGACCATGGAATCTATGACATACTCATATGAATTAAGACTTACAAAGAGATACATACCAAACAACTCAGTGACCCATACCTAGACACAAGTTCGTACCACCATCTTCTAAATTGTGCATGGTGAAATGTGACCAGAAAATATGCTGGAGTACACTCTGTAAATAAACTATGACCTATTCGCCTTTATCTGTGACCAACCTCAAATGGTTTGTGACCATTACATGTAACCAGTTATGCATACAAAAAATGTTACCTGTATTGGGACATATAAAACATGTGTATCGCATTGCGAACTTTATAGACGCCGGAATGTAAGAGGGACGTGGGCAGTGACATATAGGTACTTGGCTATGACCATGATCATGGAATCTATGACCTACTCATATAAATTGAGACTTACAAAAGGATACATACCGAACTACTCAGTGACACATCCCTAGACACAAGTTCGTACCACCATGTTTTATTTCCAACGACGAACTGACCAACAAGAAAAGGTGGACGAAAATGATCATCTCGATCATTAAACTTTTTCCTACAAAGAAAACTTGATTGAATATTCATAAATGTACCAATTATAATGATATGCAAAAAAATAATTCATACTTGCTATGTAGCTTATATCATCTCTGGAACCAACTTTGAAAGTCGGCAATATCGGCATGGTCTGCAGACTGATTGTAGTGTTGGAAGATTACGACATTATTCGACTGCTTGATTTGCTTCCCTTCATGAACATACGGAGATTGAAGTGCTTTAGCTGGCCTAGGAGCCCTCTTAACGGGCAATCTAGAACTTGGCGCAAAAATAGGAGACTCCTGCATATTAATTTGATATGGACTGTGACTTACTGAAACATGCAACATACAGTAGTTTATATAACTAGCAGAATTATCTGGGCTTACCACCTTCTCAGCAGATTTCGTGTCCTTCAAAACATCATATTCGACAGACTCAACATACGTTTCCACCTTTTTCGATTTTGTTGGTTCTATGGGTGTTGGTTGCGTGAAACAAACACCCAGATCGAAGGATGGAGGTTGTAGGCTATATGGAAATTCAACGTCAACGACAGTTTCCATCTTACCCTCGCCTTTAGAATCAACTGTTATTTCCGCATCTCCAACCTGTAACATAAAATGTATAATCATAATTAAAGTTTATACGACAAATGAACATATATCATTTTATGAGATCACATGGTATGTTGATTACCTTGTCCAAAGGTTCATAATCTTTGACAATGTTTAACCCAGATTTATCTCTGAATTTGGTCAGGATTTCTTCCATGGAACTAGAAATCAAGGCGGTCACGGATTCAATCATAAACTGCTTGTTTGATCTGATGTCGATCAAGTCTGTACGGATTTCACCTTGCATGTGAACAATATTGTTCAATTTATTTTGCTGATCATGCTTGAGCGACGATATCTCTGTTTGCTGATCTTGCTTGAGCAATGATATCTTTGACTTCATCGCATCGATTGCCACACTCATCCGATGATTCTCAGTTTGGAGTTCAGTTAATTGTTTGAAAAACTGTTTTCTCATTTCGTTAACCACCTGCACCATATGACTACCCATTATCAGTGGCAAGACAATGGTGAAAACATCTATAGTCCAGATGCTTGTGACCCATAATGAACTGACAGATCAATGACCCATAAACTATGACCTAGAAATGTACTACGATGTTGCACCAAGAATAATAACTGAACGTGAAATAATCTGTGACATGTGACCTATTCTGTGACATGTTTCTAATACATGTGACGTGTGCACACGATGACTTATGAAAATAGCAAAGGTGGAATAACCTGTGACCCGTAATGAATTGACAGAAAAAGCGTTAGCTAGAAAATGTGACATGTGACCTACAGCTGACATTATTTAACAACTTACATCGTTTAGCACCGACTGATCCTCCCTACTAGGCGAATTGGCATGGAATGTTGTTCCCTACCATCTGGGTGGGGTGTCAACAAAATCGTCATCACCATCGTCAAGAGGTACATCGGAGTGACCAAGTCTACCATCCATAATCATAAGCAGCGGCGTAGATGCTTTTTCACTCGAGTAACTCAGCTTCCTAGTTGCCCCAACGGAATGAACTGATCTATCCACCATACCCCCTTTCTCTTTTTCCCACGTGAACGTTCAGGTTGGGTAGGCTTGATATATTGCATTTCATACATGTATGGCATTGCCATTTCCATGTCTGACGAGTCCAGGTCACGTATTTCCATCTGCCATTCCAAGCACAGACACATTGTAATGTCAGCACACTACATCGATGTACAAAATAATAAACCCAAGCAATGAGTTGTAACAGTAACTGGGTATATGTCCGGTCATAACCATGTGAGGCATGTCATGAGTGTGTTCTGTGACCTGTCTATTATTAATTGTGAGTCAATGAACATATGTTGTGACTTGATGTGTATAATCTCTGACTTAGATACACAACTATTTAAGTTCTGTATTACGACTTGTGACTTAAGGATAAGCACATATGAGATGCATTGACGTATTGTAAATGGTGTTTAGATAATTAGTTCGGGATTACAGAAGCAATTAGGTCCGTCAAGCTTAGCAGCAGGTGGGTGATCGTCTTCCGTCCAATTCCTTATTCGGGGATATGTTCTTGAGGTCCTTCTTGCTACATATCCATCGAGGGTAGGTATTGTCTCGTAAATTCATACTTGAAACGCTATTAGAAGACCTCGTAGTCTATAATGGGTCGTTCTCTTGCTCAAACCCTCCCTCAATAAACTAATTAGTGTCTCAAAGAGTGACTTACCCCATGAGAACGAGTCCATCAGATTAAAATCCTCTACTAGAACAAACATATAGTGTTCAACCACCTTCTTATAGTCTCTTGGATACAGGTAAGAAGTAATGAAATACAACGCACCAAGCCTTGAAACATCCTCATCTGGAATGTCACCTGCAGAAAGAAATCTTTCCTTTACATCCGCATGTGTCACCACCTTCAAGTTACTAAAGTATCTCCTTTTCAAATGCGAGGGAGTCTTCTCCAATCGATTCATATCCACATCACCAAAATATCTAAGACCAGTCACCAAACAAAACTCCGACACAGAGAATCTTACAAACCTCCCGACACGGAGAATCTTACAAACCTCCCAGCTATATTG